TTTGACCTGATACTTTTTGTACTTTTACTCAAGTTGTTCTTTGGGAAGGTACTTTTACTTTTACCGCAGTCACAATTTTATCAGAGTCTCAAGTCATCAAATCTGTGACTCGAGTCTGTAGAATTTTTAAACCCCTCATTCGTCATCAGAACCAGGACCAGGAGGCCAGTCTTGCATCTGTAACACAGTTCTTTATTTCTTCATTGTGTGAAAGTTTCACAGACGCCATGCTGGCCCACTCGACATAGAAAATGGCCGTCTTTATGTAGGCTGGGTCAGGCATATTGTTGAATGGACCATTGCCAAATTAGGTACAGCATAACAACTGTTCTGAGAATGAAAGTGGGTGCAGCCTCAACCAAAAATGAAAGTGGGTATATCTAGACTGCAATGGATTTCAGAGAAATCAAGAAGTGCTTACATTTATAACTTGCGTGCAGAATGTATTTTAGACAGACAATCGCTAGGCTAGATTTTAGATCAAGCATGGTTGTTGGATCACTGAGCGATGCTTGCTTGTTGGCTCACTGACTGTACCATAAATGTATTTTGTGATTTGGAACAATGGCTTCAACATGGTGGTGGTAGTATGATGGAAAACTGATTGAGTGAGGGGGGCAGACCTATGAGAACTTGGACTGGAGTTCTGGGCAGCTTCTGTAGCTAGAACCTTCTGTAGCTAGAAGGCCAGACCCCCCTTATAGCTGTAGTAGGACTGAGGAACAGGGAGGAGATGGGGTGGCAGTGGGGATCGTGAACACTTCGTCATGGCAACAGAAGGTGAGGATGTGAATTTATAGGGCATTAGATTGGAAGAAGGAGGGGTTTTAGGCTAGTTCCCATACTTCAGTTATAACATAACTATGTTGAATTTCAGTACACTGCCATAAAAAACAGTATGGGTAACTTTTTGGCCCCCAAGTTATAAGCAATGAAAATGTAACAAACAACAATGTCTTTAATGTCTAAATGTCCAATTGTGTACCTTAAATGAGTTTCAAAGTTACTCTACATTCACTTGAACATTTGTAGGTATTAAAGGTGCATATTTGTATTTTTTCATTACGTATCTTTCTTAAATAAAAGAGAAAATAAAAAGCCTGAAGTCATTTTTAAAATATGCAATAGTATACAATGCAGTTATGGTCCCTAGCTAAAGGTACTGAAGACGTACCCTTCAGGACAGCAGCAGTGACAGAGTTTGTACCCAAAAAGTACAGTTTTTTTTTCTGAGTTTATTGATTTATTTGTGTTTTTGTCAGTTTCCTATCCTTTCGACTTTCTGTTCTTTGTTTTGTCACGGACCCTCCTGTGCTCTCTGTGTTTGCCTGCTCTGTTTTTCCCAAGAATGTTAACCTGGACTCAGATACACAGACTCAGCATTTGAGGCCAGCTTTATTGTGGGGATTTTTGCAATTGAAAATAGTCTTGTAATTTTATTTTGGTCAAGAAAATGAGTGCATAATCTATTAAACTTTATTACAATTAATTATAATTGATGGTAACATTCAAAATTGAACTGGCAGATGTAATAAAAGGTTGAAAAATTACTTTTATAAAATATTTTTTTATGAATTATAATTGATTATAACATTACTAAATCGACACAGTTCAATCATTACCTTCAGACTGCTGTCTCATGATGCACTGATGCAATTTAAGACCTTTACACAGAAAAGCAATCCTCAGGAGTAACACTCAGACTGCAGGTAAGGGAGGCTTGAAAACAAATAAACAAAAAACATCCCTCATTTCTGTACCTGAATATATTTTGTGGTTATTCTTCCCACTCAGGAACACACTCAGCAACTGCAGCTCATACAAAGTCCTGGAAATGCCTCACACAGGGTCAGCACCTGCCCTCAGCTGTGTTCTTGCCAGCAATAACAGACTAAACACTGCAGATAAAATCTTGTGCTTGTTCTCATTTTCATTCAGATGACCACTCTTATCAACAGATATTTTCCCCCATTGCAGTTATCCAGACAGAGAGGGAGCTACGCTGCAACCGTCCCCATTGTGCCAGGGCCTCGTTCCACTTTCTCTCAAAACAACAAAGCAAAAAACTGCTCGAACTGCCGGTGGGAGGAAAAAATAAACATGTCTTCAAACACTATTCTCCAAAAATAGAACAGTGAAATCACTACCCCACTTGGTCAGACACACATAACAACCAATAGCACACCTCCATGCATATCCAAAATATATCTGGCTGCCACAAAGAGTGAGGCTGCAGCTGAAAATTCAGGTCATTAATTGGTAGCTTGTACAGATAATATGGGGGTTTTCACTTCATGTGTCAGAAATATCACCCGTGTACAATTCTTCCTGAAAGTAAACCTTTTTTTAACCTAAGTTTTACCATCCAATTTAGCTGTGGCCATTTCTCAGCAGCTAATTATGTCTCCCACTATCATACAATGACTGTGACTCCCAATAACTCCCAAACTGGGAAGGTAAACCTTAGGGCATGAAACTTTCAAACCAGAATTAATGCAACCTCACAGAACAGCTCAACATGCTTGAAGGAGCTAACGCTAACTGCTAATTCTGTTATGACAGCATTGGCTTGCTTTACATTGAGAGATGGAGATAGAGGACCATCCTACTCACCCAGAGAGAGAGGACAAATATGCTGTCTTGGACTCCCAGCCTCGAATGACTCAAATCATGATCTCTTAACATTCATTTAAATAATGTTTCATTTAAATAACATTTGAACTCCTGCATGCATCCTAACTCAACACCTCCTTTGAGACAGTTACTAAGACTTTACTATTATAAAATGCTACAAAAACACATACAGTCTGATAGGAAGTGACTTTAAAACCAAATCCCTCAGTATCATTAAAATAAAACTATTGGTTGTAGTGTCACTCTATATTGAACAGATAAAATGTCACACAAATTACATTGAGTATGTCTAGTGAAAGCAGCAATGTGTATAAAGTAGTGTGCAAAAGTCGAGTCGAATTGTCAGACAAAATGGCCAAGAACAACTTATCCTTTTTTCACCATTAAGAAAAAGAACAGAAAACAGTCTTCACGGAAAATTATACAGAAGCCCCAGCTATTAATATCATTTTTCCAGTATTTAGTGTGCCCACTTCTTACCTTATCACAACTTCCATTCTATGGCAGGTATGTTTTTACACACTCCAAAGTTCAGTCTTAGAAGTTGGTTGCATTTTCATCATTTTGATTGTTTCTTACGATCCCAAGTAATCCCAAACACAACTGATGAGGCCTGGACTTTGGGTGAATAATAAAAAAAAATAATAAAATTATCATTTTGTCAATAAATGGAAGGTGGTCTCTGACTTTTGCACACTGTATGTACTCTATTGTGTTACTTTTGAAGCTTAACAAAAACTGGTTTCTAGGTAAAACGCTTATAAAAGACTTGAGTAACTGACCTGACTGCACGCGTCAAATGCAGCTTTTATGAGGTTTATTTCTCCAAATTGAGAAAGCCATAAAGTGGGAGCTGATCAGATGCTGATGCAGAATGCAGCATCATAAAAGGCCTTTGAAATTCCATTCTGGAGCCCCATGTTCACCGCCCTTTCTCATCTCTTCTGTTTATCTTCATCTGCTCAAGGCCTCCATGCACACACCGCCAAACGCCTGTCAAGTGATTTCTCAAGATGTAATAATGGTGTCGAATCGCATTTGAAGAGGGCGGAAAGCGAAAAGGCGGAACGTAATGAATGTAAACAACATCATCTTCATTGCTTCGCAAAGGCTGGCCAGGTCCCTCTCCAGCTCTGGCATCAAATAATGTTTCAGAGATGAGTTTGTTACTATTGATCACAGGGCAACCCGAGTGAAATATGAGGCAGAAAAAGATGACCAGTGGACGACAGCCGAGTTCATCATTTAGGAAACAATTTCAAATGCTTTAGCACAAAAATGCTGAAATATTTGTACACACCAATGTAGCCACATTAGTGATGGGCATTCTGGCTCTTTTCAGGGAGTCAGATCAATTGGCTCAGCTCACAAACAAGAGTTGACTCTTTCAGCTCCGAAAACATCTCTTCATTCAATAGCATTGGTGTTTTTCCCCCATTAAATTAGCCAAAATAGCAATACTTTCTATCATTAAATTTTCAATAAAACCTTTACCTACCTGAACTGACAAAAATGTCAATGTTATTAACGGATGAACTTCAAGAATCATCAACAAACAAAAGGCAAGAATTACATGAAACTGCCAATCAAAAACCAGAACCACGCTAACATAACAAGCAACAGGTGTTAAAGATAACAAGGTGGAGTTGGAAAGTTCCAAGGAGATCCAGGAGGGGTTCTGTGATTTTCTGCTACAGTGTCATAAGATCTATATATTTGTTTCCTCTCAATTTACAAAAAAAGTGCTCCTCAATGAATCAGCTCTTCATTCAGTAGCATTGTTATATTTTTCCTCTGTAAAATTAGCCACGTTAGCAGTATTGTCTATCATTCAATTTTCAATGAAACCTTAGTCTACCTTTTAATTAGCTAATTGACAAAAGATTAGGTAAAATGCAGGCAAATCTATCAACCAGCCATCAACAAACAAAGGCAAGAATTATACGAAAACCACCAAGAATTAAAACCAGAGCCAAAATAACATACCAAGCAACAGGTGCTGGGAATAACAAGGCGGAGCCAAAATGTTGCAAAGAGATCCAGGAGGGAGAGGGGGCGGGTCCTGAGATTTTCAGCTACAGCGTCAACCTATATGTTATGTCTTAACTTACAAAAATCACTAGTAACCACCCAAAACTGTCAGTCAAGTTGCACTGAACATGTCTAATGATACCAGTGATTGCATGTTATGTATTTTATTAGAGAAACGAGCAGTAAAACGGAAAAATGTGCATGTTTTTCTGTGTAGAACCAGCACAGTTTTGATACATTTTGATGCCTGAGCAGCAAAGCAATTGCAGACACAAAAACATAACACGAGTGTGCATTATTATACAGTCAGTTTGTGAATGAAGAGAAAATCCAGCTACAGTACCCGAAAGAGGCCGACTTCCACTGGCGGCAGGGGAAAGTTCTCCTGCACAGGGGCGATATAAGGTTGCCCGAGTTCTCTGAGGCTTCCAGAGGAAGAGAAGCATGTCTCCTACGGAGAGTGAGAGAAAAAAATAGAGTATATAAGATATACCTCCTCTAAAGACATTAACTCCACTGCAGTCTGTACATTACAGCAACAAATCTCATTATAAGCAAATGGACTCCACTGTAAGCAGAACACACGACACATACTTAGCACTGATTTAATAAAGCATGCAGTGCAGAACTGATGCGCTTGAACTGAAAGAGTATACTTGGGCCGTGGTATCTGACATACAGTAATCTAGGGATCATGACAAAATTTCCTATGGACAGCAGACTTCTCTATTTTCAGATTTCATTTAGGTGAAAATGCATATGATTTACAAAAACTAGAAGTAAACTAGAATCTTTATTTATATACGTGTTTTTAGATGCTTGCTTTTTATTGCGGAGGTACACAGATTTTTATTTCAAGAAAACTGCAGTTGCGCTGTCAATGTGAACTGTTTTCACAGCAGGGGGTTCTCACCTCTCCTCTTTCACTCCTCATTGCTCACTAGCAGCTCAACATAGAGACATAACATTTTACACACAATAGTGCCCCAGTTAATCTGATAACAGGGTTCTGGGCAGGGACTTTGGTTATATTGTTTAAAATATCATTCAATTACCATTATTTCCATTCTGTGGGTGGAATGACCACTAAGTGGCCTACAGAAAGTTGACATGAAAAGCTTAGTTTACAATAAATAGCTATTTGCTAATACTGGATATATGAATATAAATAGATCTGCGCTGTCTTATATAGGAGATCTGCTCCAACCCTATTCTTTCTCTTGGTCCTTGAGGTCATCAGATCAGTTGTTACTAGCTGTGCCACGGTCTTGGCTGAAACTCAAAGGCGACCAGGGTTTTGCTGTTGCAGTCCCAAGACTGTGGAACAGTCTACCTCTGGACATTAGGTCTGCACCCTCTACTAATGCTTGCAAGTCTAGATTAAAAACCTATTTTAATCAGTTAGTCTTTGATTCTGTGAATTGATTGTACTGGATGTTCTTTTGTTATATACCTTATGTTGCCTTTTACATGTGTTTTAAACATATCCCCTTTGTACAGCACTTTGGGTTTAAATGTGCTTTATGAATAACTTATACTTACTCATGTGCTAATATGTGAAATGTGTTCTGAAGGTAGTACTGACACAAATACTGTCACAGACATTTAAAAATGTGATACTGTTTTCTTTGTTTAGTCTTTATTCTACATTTTCTTGTGCAGATGTTTTTCTTGAGGTCCACTTTTTGGTTTTATGCACTAAAAACAGTTGAAAACCCATTTTCCAACTTCTTTACCCCAGGCTGTTTTTGTTACTGTGCCTTGTAGACTGGTATATGTAACGACATGTACAAAAATACTCTGCTCTGATTGGTTGACTTGCATTGTGCTTCATTCAAAAAGCAGTCTAGGCTGAAACACTCCTTATAACTTCAATAAGAATGGGTAGAGCTAAACTGCTGTAGGCTGAACAGGATATATAGCTGTGTGCAAAGGTTTAAACACCCTGGTCAAATTATGTCACCAAATAAGTTCATTCTCTACAGAGAACACACTTAAATATGCCATTTTAGTCCACAATATTATCCATTTGAGTTTAACACAGTGGAAAAAAAACATAACCCTAAAATGTGGCACAACTTTTTGCACAAGCCACATTTTATGTTTTATATGTTAAATTCAGGAAAATAAGAACAGTAAGCGTGCATTAAATGTGCAGAAGTGTGTACTTTCATGACAGTGACATCTCAAAAACAAGGAAAAAATGCATATCGGGACTATATGGACTAGAGTCAATGGTAGGTGTTCTTTAAAACTTTAACAGCTTTAACTTTGTACATCAAACTTTTATTTCAATATTGTGAGGAAAAAAATCATTCCATGATATGAGTCCTTGAATGGACAACCTGCTACGTTTAATCTGTGCTACTGAAGGCTACATTGATTCGCACACAATACATAAGACAGCACTTGAAACACAAGGACACAGTGCAGTGCAGGCAGAGATGGATGAGGGAGAGGTCAAAGCGCACAGACATCGAGGAGGTAATGAGGAAGGAATTAACTCACCCGGCTCGTACTGTGGCAGGACGTTACTTCTGCCCTGCCTGAGGGCATGGTGCTACGCTGCCCGTAAATACCCGTAACACATTTCCCCCGGGAGCTTAATTGCCACATCAGGTTGAGGAATGACGCAGGGGGCCAAGTTTAATTGAGTCATTTCCCTGCAGACTGCGTGGGGAAGATGAGGCTGATGCGCATAAATAGCCCAAAATATAATACCTGGGTTACACCAGGTGATCTGCACTGACGGCCTGAACACATGATAGTTTTGGAGAGATACTCAAGCAAGACTGGCTTTCAAATGGACACAATAAATAAATAAATCAGTCAATTAATCAATCAATTGATCAATCAGTCATTTACATAGCTATAAAACCTTAGCACAAACAACTGTAATTATAATACGAAGTGCTCCACAGAGTTCAAATGTCAAATGACCTGCTTTTCAATCTCATCTCTACCTGCTGCATCTGTATTAAATGGTTTATTAGCATCAACAACAGCTTCAACATTAAAAAAAAAAACATTAGAAGTTTTATAATGCTTTTTAAATGTTGAAGCTGCTGTTGATGCTAATAAACCATTTAATACAGATGCAGCAGGTAGAGATGTTGTTTACTCAAAACATACTTATTATAGGAACCAATAGGCAGGTGCTTGAGTGTTTCGAGTCAACAAATTATGTGTTCTGTTCTAAGTACAGAAAGTACTGAAAGAAAATATCTGTCCATGGTAATTGACCATATCCTACAGATGTGACATAGAGATTAGAGTATAAACTGCTGGACTACTCCTTTAAAAAACAGAAAAAGGGAAAGTATTAGTATACAAGGAGTTTTATCAATGTTATTATTATTATTATTATTACTATTACTATTATTATTATCAGGCAGTCAAGGTCTATACATACCCTTTAAAGTACCCCTAAATTTATTTAAACCTCTGCTGAAAAATACACTGTTTAATATTATTTTATGTATCATTGTTATTGCCAGAAAGCTAAGACAAATGCCATAGGGACATCCCCAAAGCTTAACAACCACCAAGAATGTGAAGATTTATGAATATGCACAATTACACAAATTGAAAAGCCCCTTTGCTTCCCAGTTTCCAAACCTCTACACTGCACAGCTTTCACCTTTGGCAAGTGAGCAAGAGGCTACATTAGGGAACACATTTGAGCAGATTGAGCAGAAGAAACATAAGCTCCCAAAATTATTAATCACAAAATAGACTAGTCACATTTTCAGTTCATCACCCAATAAGTGTTAAACAACAACTGCTAATTTTTCACTAACCATCACTGCTTACACTGCTAGGAGAGCACAGTGGAGCTGGTTATGCTAGCGCCAGCTTAGCAAGCTAATAACAGCTTAACACACAACAGAACAGTTAGATTCTTTCTTTCTGTCAACTCCAACAACAACACCACAAAACTAAGTCTAAAGCTTTTTTGGACTAGTTTTAGGATTAGTTTTACATGAGGAGTTGGAGTAGTGTAAATTTTACTGGCGTTTCTCACATCGATAAAGATTCTGGCACCTGTTAGCTTCAATAAAACGAGCAATATAAATAACCCCAGTTTATATTAATCCTGTGTGAATCAACATGTCAGTAAAAACACTGTCCTATCCGGTGGAAAAGGAGTTTCTTAAGTATGGAACTTGTATTCTCTGTGGCTAGAATTGAGCTAATATGTAACGTTACTGTCCTAGGTTTGATTTTATGCGGTGAAGTTGACTGTTGGCTGTGAATTTCCAAGCTAATGGCAATGCTAATGATGCACTGCACTTAAAACAAGGTAAACAGTTAGGGTAAAGGATGTAATGACTAAACTGAATGTTTTGACATTTTGTACTCTTTTTTGGAGTAAATGAGGTGCGTAAACTGAGTATCTATGCCCATCTCTGTCTCTTATACTCAGATTTCTTATCCCACATGAGTCGGTCATAAACATTACAGATGTCCTGTGGTAAACTGGCATTACCCCACCTCCCCTTGGAAAATGAATCCCCTACCAATAGGGCTTAAGGCAGTGAGCTAGTAAAGCTGTTTTAGCTTGCTCGCTAAACTGCAGCCTCTAATGCTAACAAAGATATCTCCACATAAAACAGCCTGTTGCCTCAGATTTTGAGTCTTTATCCTCCAAACCTGTGTCAGTGGAGATTCAGTGAATTAGAATCAAACGTGCTGTGGTGTTCAACACTTACAAAACCATGCAAACTACCACTACCTGCTTGGAGCGTATATACTTTGACTACCATATTAGACAGTTTCTGTATCTCATTATGAGTTTCCCATTAAAATTAGCTATCTACCATTTTTGAGACTCAATGTAGTGTGGGTTGGGAGTGAAGTTAACACAGTCAGTTATATCTCATTGTCTTTTGGTGGTTTAACATTTCATTTTCACACACCATGTCTAACGTTAATGTTGTTTTGAACAGTGCCCGATGTTGTAAATGGCCGGCCTAGTGTTCCTATGTAAGCTAACAACGCTGGAGGTCTTTAAGAACCATCTGACAACATATCTTTTTAATACTGATTTTATTGCATTTTCCCAAATTAATTTAAGTTTGTGTTGGTTAAATGTAACAAATTATGGTGTAAGTGACCTGAGTTATGAACATAGTGGCATTAGTCTTGGTATTGTTCTATTAAACTCAAAGTAGATGCTGTGCTCTGGATCAGCTGGCTCACAGCAAAGCCATCTGTCTTACTTTTTCAGCATCAGAGCAGATTTGTTAAAAATTTAGCAGACAGTGTAGCACGGCACTGTCAGTCAACCGTGTTTTACCTATTCCAGCTGCTGAAACAACAGATGAGGTTGGTAAACATATTGACAACTGAACAGAAAGTCAATGAACAGTGTTCTTAAAGATATTACATCATCGCTTTGTCTGATTCCAACACTTCCAATGAGCTATACACTCTTTACCCACTGCTCTC